CGTCTTTTCATCGAATGTATGACACACGTTGTGTCGGTTGTGAAAGGATTTATTAAATAATAACAAGATTACTTAATAGTAACTCCTTCAGAAAGGTAAATAACATTTATTTAGGTATTGCATGTTGCTATCTCAAATATACGACGATTACACGGTTGTGAATTGCATATTGGGACGTTAAATATGAAAATTATATCCCCAGGTGAGGTACCAACCGGTTTAAGGCAATCACCGCTGATAAATCAACATTTGTATATTAGTCTCTACACTGATCGCATGAGAGACAAAGTTTCGGAAAATTTTTGGTTTTTAATTATTTAAATGATTAAGTAAAGAGAAATCGATTCACCAATACCGGTAGTTATAGTTGGATTCAAATCTATGTATTCATCTTCAGGTAAAAAGACAAAGAAATTTTCAATTTTATTATAGTGCAGCGGATGCAAGATCTATTGATCACTTTATGGTAAAAGTATGAAACGTTACACAGTGTAAATTATGATGCTAATAAACATTTTTTGATATCAAGCCACGAAAACAAATCGAATATGGCCGCCAAATTAAACAAAGACAGAAAAAATGGTATTTGCTGCTTCTCCGGTAAGCACGCGGCATTAAGGAGAAAAATCACAGAATAGTTGGCTCGAAGTCTGAATATTGTGTCCGGGTTGGATGACATGTCTTCCTGCGCACTATTACCTTGTGAACTAGCATGTTAAAAATCCGGCTCCGCGAGTGGGCCCAGTAGAACGCATGGTTCATCTTCATATCGCAATAATATGTTTCCGTCCTAAACATGCAATGTATTTGACACTTAATGTTATCCAGCCATTTATCCACCCATCTTTCTGTTGAAAAAAGAATGTTCAAACTTTTTATATAAACACCAGACATTGGTAGTTTTAATAGGCTAAATATGGAAAAAAAATTATAACTATCTCCTAAAATTAATCAATCAACGAACATTTTCGGGATTTGATAAATGAAAAAAGTTTGATCAACATTTATACTTATTTTCATGATTTCAAGCCGTTCACAGCAATTTTGTTACATTTTTGCTCAAATTTGTAATTGGTAGGGTAATGTTTTCCATTTTAATAAAATTTTGTTTGATATGAAAATAGATTCCAAGAATCATAAGACGCCAAATACATATGTTCACTGACGAAATGATTTAGTTTTGGGAATAATACAAGCATTTTAGTTCGTACGGATAAAACTGACAAAATATGAAAAAAATATGAAAAGTTTGAAAATCAGAAATTCAGAAAAATCGTTTGGGAACGAAAAAAGATTTGAACACTCTAGAGTAATAATAATAGATGTATTTGATTTGGATGCAAGTAATTTGAGTGTTTAAGTTCAAATTTAATATGATAAGTTGCAAGGGGTAGGAGTACTTTTTTCCATTGCCATACTAATTTGTACAATAAGTAAAAGAAAGATCTCTGTGATCATAAAATGTCGAATACATTGTTACATGCAAGAAGGTCAACTAGAGACAACGTTCAAAAGGATATAAATGATAAACTTGTTGAAATAAGCCTCTTTTTCAAAACAGAAGCAACAGAAATGGCATTAGGTGAGCCAGATGGTTGAATATACATCTGTTGTATGTTAATACTACTGTTGATATATGACATTATTGTCTAGTTGAATGATTGAAGGTGTCCAGTTTTTGAAATTCATAATTTTCGGTCGAAATATATTTGGATAGGACTAAAACAGTTTTCTATAATATGATCTCCATCAAATGAATAATATAAATGATATATGTGGGGGTGGGGGATGCAAAATAGGTAAAAAGTTGGAAAATCTTATAATCTGAAAATGTCCCATCTTCCTCGTATTCTAACTACAAAGCAACGAGTAGTGAATATTCAATTATGTTGAATAAATGATCATGTTTAGTAAAAAGACAAATTGATATTGAAATTCTCGTATGTTGAAATTCAATCCTTTTTTATGAGATTGATTGATTGGTAAGCTCTTTAAATCAAATGGTAAATATTTCAAGCATTTCATATGGAGAACAAATAAAGAAACATATACAATTGGTATAGGTTAAGTTAAGTAAATCGACCGCTGTGGAGGGCGGCTAATTTGGATTTACCATCAAGTTCTGTTTGATACATGTAGGGGTGCTTTAAAAAAAAAACTACGCCCCCTGGGATAGTGTTACACTCAACCTATACGATACATATAATTTACCGTCCCTTTTCCTACCGGACGTGGCTACGAATTTATACATCCCGCACAGGAAGACAGGTAACCCATTACATTTATAAAAAGAGCTTCACTGCAAAACAGGGGAGTTTCGGAATGAGTCTAATTTGTAACTTGAACATCTAAATCAATGCTCGGACATTAAGGGGATTTAATATATGTAGGAACTTAATATTCTTTGCAGTTTTAACATTCAAATAATGGATTTTCAAATACTTAAAAATATATTTACAAATAGGTTTCAAGGGCTCTAAATTTTTAAATACAAATCAATTTATTCTGATAACGCAAATGTCAGTTCTTGAAGTTACTACTAACATTTGTAAGGTTTTCGGTCTTCATCAAACATTTATCTTTCAAATACAGATACATATAAAACTTCGTTTACTAAACATTGTGTGTATCACAAATAAAATTTGCTTATTTTCCTAATAGACATCAGCACCAAATTGTTTGGCTATATATACTTGATATTTTTAAGCTCATAGTGCACAATTATAACACTGGATCAAAAGGCCTTGCCAATTTCAGATATTTGATTTTTAAACATTAACTCTACGACTTCATGAGCTGTGTATGGTATTTCGCTTTTAAGTTATCTGGCAACTATTTATCCAAGATATGCCAGGTTTGTTTTGGGACTTTGAAGTATTAAGATTTAACGTGATTTGTCCTGTGGAGGTGTTGTCAAAAATGGCGACATGTCAAGCATCGATAGTCGGATAAAAAAATCAAGTGTACTTACTTATTCGGTAGAATAAAACGTTAATATAAATGAATATATGCATACTTATTGTCAATATAACGGAACTATAGATAACTGTCATACAAATGGGAGATTGAGCTAACTATAACACCAGGTTTAAACCACTATTTTCTGCGGAAATACCTGTACCAAGTAAGGAATATGACTAGTTGTTTTCTATTTGTTCTGTTGGTTGATAAAGTGCCTTAGTCTTACGTTTGATTTTGTCAGTTATTGCTGTTAATACTTTTTAATATACCATACGTTAAAGGAAAGGATAAAAGACATCAAATAGCATACGATAGATGAAACGTTAAACCATAACATATATCATACGATTAACTAAACGATAGACTATATACAATACTATGAACGAATGATGAACGGAGGCTAACCAAACTCTGTACGAACGCTACAAAAATGTTGTACGGGCGATGCCCAAACGATGTACATACAATTCCAGAATGGAGAAAGAGTTAACATATACGTTACAAGGACCCTAGTTCAAATCATGAAAATCGATTTTCAATATGATAACAGAAATACATCCTGGTAAATTCATGAACTCCAAATTACGATGGACATGGTGCGTCAACAAGGAAGTATTATGTTGATATGCAAGCATCATCATCTATATGAATCAAGACTCAGCAAATATTGTACGATTGGATTGTTAAATGTCCTGCAGTATACCACGTTTATAACGTTTTATAACAATATCAACATGTAACAGATCTATAAGTGGAACTGAAATAGAATTACCTCCTTGGCTGCCATGATCATACCAGGAAAGGCATATGCACCTTAATATTACAGAGGTGAAATCAGAACGAATTGATGACGTATAAAACATAGTATAAGGACCATTTGAATTAAAACTTATGAAGTAAGAAGTATTTGTTCTAAACATACTAAAATGCTTATTAAGTTTACATCATGTAAGAGTTTAGGTTACGGCTCAGAAGAAAGGGATTTTTTTTTTTGGTTCTCATTCCATGTTTGAGGAAAGGAAGACAAACTTATTCCTATATGTTTTATCATATTGAAAAAGGTTTCAAAAATGTTAATATAAGATAACAGGAGAGGACATACATTGAACGGTTTATTCAGTTATAGGAAAGAAAAAATGCTATATTTGTTCAGGTAACAGACACGTAAATTGGCAATATCACGGGTTGTACAGGCTTTTGCATGCTACTTAACCATAAGACATTTTGTATTAATCAAAAATTTATAGTTACAAGTGTTTGAATTGAACACATATCTGGATTATTTGTCCATAACAATATATGTCCACTGGCATATCCATTTCATTCGACAAATTCTTTCAATTTGTTTATTTCTTTACATGTCAAGGATTGACGGAAATAAAATAAAATCAGACATTAATTCGTCATGCTAATAATCTGAAATAAAAGAATATTAATGTGTTATTTGAAAAAAAATCTATAGTTATAAACACTCATTTGAAAATTCAATTGAAATGTATAGTTTACATTATTGTTAAGGAGCCAGTTGAAGCCCACCTCTAGGTGCGGAATTTTCACCCTGTGTTGAAGACCCATTGGTTGTTTTGGGGTTTTTTCTGCTCTTTAGTCGGGTTGTTGTCTCTTTGACACATTCTTCATTTCCATTCTCTATTCTACGTTAGGGAATATCTGAGTCGCAGATGACAATTGACAATAATTGATATGTTTCAATTGTCGATACCGTAGTCTCATCCTCTTTTACTTGATTGTGAGACTTATCACCGAAATGGTAGTTACCATGAGAGAAATAACGGATGACACTTAGAACAGCAACTGTTTACCATTCCGGACCTGCGATCACCACCTGTTTTTGTCATTTTGCTCCGTTTTTTGTTATTCTATGCCGTGTTTTGTTTGTCTTTTCGTCGTCTTTTGTTTTGTTTCATAGTGTCAGTTTCTTTCCAGTTTATGAGTTATGAATTTTTCCTTGGTATTTTTTGTCTCTTTTTATCAGTACAATTATTAATCTTTCTTATAGAACAACCACAAGATTTTTCAACTTACATACAAGTATAGTATTCTCATCACAGTGTCGTTATTATATCTTCATTGCATTTAAAATAACAAAAAGCAGTATGAAACCACATTTGAAATAAGACATCGACAAAAAATAAAAGAAAAGAAAAGTTTACAAAATATTAATGAGATAAATATGGACTATGCAGCAAATCCAAAAATACCAGTAAGGAGATCATTTTTAAATTAAACAAAATTGTCTCGCATACTCTTTATATGTTATATAGCATTCTTTTTATTCTAGCAGGAACATTTTTTCTGACTCAGGATTCAATCATTGTTTTTATTTTTTCGAAAATGTGAAGTTTGAAGAAGTAATAGGTATGTATTTAATATGTTACAAATGTTTAAATATATATATATATATATGTTAAAGACTATAGGTTGCCCTCCAAATGTCAGTTGGTTATTTTCATCGTTATGATTCTGTATCCTTGAAGTATACTTCTAATTAAATTTGTCGTTTAACAAACATAATCACATTATGCAATCATATTCAATGTCGATGATGTTTGCCAGCAAACGCAGTTTTGAGTTTTTGATTATAAAAAGTATTTGTTAACTCAACAACTGACGCTTTTTACAATGTTCATAAGTCGATTCTACGAATGTCTTTCTCTGCTGTATTCATATATAAAAAAGAAGATGTGGTATGATTGTCAAAGAGACAACTCCCCACAAGAGACCAAATGACACAGAAAAAAGAAATAGAACATTAAAATAATATCATGTTTATTATTCGCACTGTAAGTTGAATATATCTCATATTTAGGAGTATACAATTTATATACATGATTTGAACATAGTAGCAAATACCACAATACTTAATAAGATTAAACCATATGAATACATATTTGTTAAATATGCTGTACAAAATTTATTAACCAAATGGTAAAGGTATTATAGAAAAAATATAACGTTACATGAACAAGATAAGAAATAAAGCTATAGCAGATCAAAGGATGCAAGAAGGTATCGAAAACAAGAACAATGGTACTTATCAGCTGAAAGGCGTTGTAACAAGTTAAATGTCTGCATAGAAAACAATAAAATTAAATTATTTTCCTCGGGTTTTCCAACATGTATTGCTTTTCAATTTGATAACATGTAGGCAAATGCATTATATCTGCATACTTTTTATATATACATGTATATATATATAGATTTTTAAGGTTTGAAGAGACTATGTTTTCAGAAAATTTAAAGGGATCTGTACACTTTGGGTTGTACTGAAGCTTGATATCATATAAGCACGATAAGTCTTTATTAATCGACAGAAATCATGATTACTTTTGTAAATATCTACATACATTTACAGAAGCCTTCATGACTTCCTTCTGCAATATTTGCGTCATAGTATTGCTAGTATTCAGCCAGCAGGTGTACTTGAAAGGTAAGTTCGATTTGTTATAAAATATTTTTGCATCTGAAATAGGAGCAAGGGTTCAACATTGTAGACTTCAATATTGATATTTCTTCATTAAAATACTTAATTAAAAAAAGCTAAAATTTATTTAGGCATCGAAACGTCTAATAAAGATCTAATTTAGAAACTTGTAATGAACGATAACATGCACATATTCCATCTAAGGCTCTGATGTGTTTGTACAGCATTTAAAGAAAAGGATAAAGGGAAATTGTCTGCATCCAGCTTGTAAGCCTATATATTCAACATGTTGCCATACTGAAATTTTAGCTGCGTTTCGAGGAAAAAACTAACTTAGGTGGCTAGGGTGTCTAAATGTTCGACGATAGATTTTTCTTTAAATTCTGTAAAAGAATTTCAAATTTCAATATAAAAACTGGGGTCACGGACGTTGTTCTTTTTTGTATAAATAATGTATGAAATCACAGTTATTTTATATGGGATATATGGGGAAAACTTAATGTTTCCTTATTGAGGTGACATTTAACGATATATTTGGTTAAAATTCAATGAGAAAATATTGCTTTTTATAAATACTTCCAAAATATCAAATAAAAATAGGGGATCACTTATGCTTAACGACACTTATTTTCTGCTAGTTTAAGTCATATATTTTAAGTTTTAGATGAATATCTGTTGAATATGTTTAAATCAAAAAAATATTTTTGCAACATGATCAAATGGGATGCTCAGAAAAAACACTCAGTCTGCCTTAACTGAGAATGTGCATATCATTTATTATTTAACGTTCTCCGTTGACAATGAAATGTTTTCTCTCTGATATAAAATTAGAACGTGCTAAGATTGCCAATGAGGCAACTTTCTACGAGAAACCAAATGACGTAAAAGAGCAAACCCATTCCACAAAACAAGCAATAAAAGCCCAAAATGACAAATGTAAAACTAACGGCCTGATTTATTTACAAAATAAACGAAAAACAAATGTTTCGGGTTTAAAATGTTAGCGGGCCCAAACATTCCCCTAACCCAGCGACAGTTTCGCAACACCACAACACCTGAACAAATGTACATAACAAAAAAACAAAAACAAATATGATAAACAGCAAAAAACGACAATAACTCAATTATGGGTTCCTAACTTGGGACGGCACATATAGAATGTGGCGGGGTTAAAAATGCCAAACCGGAATAAAAACGGGACAGAAGATACCGAGAGAACAATCAAAATTCATGAGTCGAAGATAACGGTTTAAAATTTATTTTTTTCATGTTCAGGATACAGTTTAAAATATATATCAATTCTCTTATAAAAGTCATTTATGAGTCAATATAGTCAGATACTTGTTAAGTCCATATCAGAATACAGCCGCACTTTCTTAATGTTTCAGACTGTATTTAATTAATCAATTCAGACGTCGAGTGATTTAAATCCCACTGGTTTAGAAGGTACACAAAGTAATTCATATATGAATAATGAGAAGCAAGTTACAAAGAAAACATGAAAAGAGCAGATTTTTGGGAGCAATACAAAAAAAAAAAAAAAAACAGTCAACAAAAAAACAAAAATACACAATGGTCAAAAGAAAAACGGGACATACAGCTTTAGTCTAAACAAAAGTAGGATAACAACATTACACCGTGTATAAATTTATATGGATGTTTGAATTCAACGTTCAGTAATATCTTAAATTTTTGCCCACTGTAGACTTTGTTTGGTCTAATTATTGCCAATTAAGTTTTTTGTAAACCCTTTTCATCCTTAAATTAGGAAAATCAAACAACCAATCAAGTATAACGCCGTCTATTTTTATTGCAAACAAAAAACAAGTGGCGATATTTGTAAATTCATGTATAAGTGCAAAAATTGATAGGGTATCGAAATTATAGAAGTATACACGAAGAGGACAGAGTAAAATTCAAAACACGCTTTCGTTGATATTAAAGTAAAATTAATAGTTTTAGCAGAGATAACACTTGGTATCAAGGAAAAAAATTAGTATTCTAAAAATGTGAGGTAAACGAAAATGAGATAGCTTTTCAGTAATCTGGAAAACACAACAAAAAGTGGTAATAATTGTCGTTATCTTAATAGATATATTTCTAAATGTACAAATATATAGATATTAACGCCAATGAGAAAAAAAAACATTTATTTTAGTAAAAATTAGAACTCTAAATCTTACGCCAAATCACGATTGCTCTTAATGCACACTTTGTAAGAGAAAAGTTTATGAATCAGCCGTCCTTTCATATGGTTTAATCATAAACAGGGCGATGAAAAATCTCCCGTTTTTAACTGGATACCTTTTGTTGGCAAAAAACAGTAACAACAGCAATCTATAGACGGGTCACCAAGATGTTCGGACAAAAATCTCTCCAAACTAATTTTCTCAATGCTTTCTACAGTAAAAGATGGCTTTCAGAAATTTTGTGATGAGATATATTTAACCAGTGGTGTTAATCAGATTGAGATTCTTAAAAAAGTCTGAAGAACCACTGGAAAGTATTCAATCACAATCTTTATAATTTTGCAGTTACATCAAACTTTTTGATTTTTAAGCTTTACACTAATATTCCATATGCTCAATGAAATGTCGAATACATCGATATTGTCTCATTATACACAGCTTTTTTCTTCAAAAATGGGGTTCGTAGATACACTTTTCTGGTTAAAGGTCATGATAAATCTTACTTTTTGAAGAGTATTGTCATGGGAACTAATTGTGCACCCCTACTTGCCGACTTGTTGTAATAATATGAAGCGGAGTTAATACAAACCTTTTAAAAGATAAAAAAAAAACATCTGGCGATGTTCTTTAAATTCTATTTCACATAAATTGATGATGTTCTGTAACTCAATAACCCATATATCAGTGCTTGCCTCTGATATATACCAGCGAACTTGAGTTTAAGGATACTAGATACGGAAACTAGAAAGTCTGCTTCGTATTTTGATCTTATTCTCGATATTAACACAGATGGACATCTTCTGAGTAGAATCTATGACTAAATTGTTGATTTCAACTTCGTCTGTCTGCCATTTCTGAGCAGTAGCATACCATCTATCCCATTATATGGTGTTTTCATATCTCAACTCTTATCTTTAGCTTGTGCATGCTCACACTTTACGGACTTAATTTCAAGAGGTGTGCTCCTTACAGAAAAAACTTCGTCAACAGAATTATGAGGAAGAACGACTGAAAACGAAATTGCATAAGTTTTACGGTTACCATCACGAATTGGTTAATACGATATGTATGTGTCTCAACCCCCAACGCCATGATTTATGTACCAGAATAGAATGTAATGTTTAATGATTGTTTCCTATTCCCGATAGTTACATTTTGACTGAGTGTGAATTCGCGTAACGGGTAATATGTGCATAACAGAAGACATTATCAATTCTTTAACTGACGGTAACATCATGAACATGTTCATTACTTAACCAAAAGACCAAATATGAAATTTTGAAGGGAAAACACGGTTTTAAGGATGATATATAAAACTCCGGTAACGGTGAAACAAAACAAATACTAAAAGAAATCTTACACTAAAATTAAGCATCACGCACCCTTTTAAGAAAAACTGGGATTTACTAAGGTACTCCGGAAAGGTTAGCAGTTCCTGGTCACTAAAAGCGCCCGTTGAAGTTCTATGATGCCATAGTCAAATAAAAAGAAGAAGGGATTGTGCATACTACAGTTGGAATTTATCTATGGTAATCAATTCCAAACATTCCGTTTGCATATATAACTGTAGGATGTATATTCTGTACAACTGTAATATAGTTATATGATTATTTGATTTATAAAGTTTAAATAATTTCAGAAATAAACCTGATGTTCGATGGACAAATTGTTGATTCTCAAACTCACGTGACCCTTTCAATTTCCTGCTCTACCCAAACTCTGCCTTTTGAATGTAGTATGGAGTTTTTGCATAATAATGCAACAGTAGAAATTATTCGATATAGTGATAGCGGATGCTTTAATCAGTATGGCAGATGTGAGACGGAAACATGCGCCTGTTCAGAAGACTGCACATCGTTTCATTGGAATTTAACTACAGCATCAGTTCTAACAAATGACAGCTTTGGCTGTAACATGAGAATTCAGAATTCCAATTCAAACTCGTTCTTTAAAGTGTATACATTAGTTGTTTACAATGGAACAGGTAATCTAAAAATAAATATTGCAGGCACTAATTTCTCATGTTCATTTTAACAAAACATCTCCTACTACATAAGCAGAGGGAGAAGGATGTCTGTATTTCAGTGAATAAGGGAATTTCCTCAAAACTAGTAATTAAAATGAATGATCAATGCATAGAATATTTGCTTGACAACGTTTTTAATTAAATGTTCGGATATTATTTTTTCAATATTAATGTTAATGCATGATAAATTTCATAACAAAATTGGAAAGGGATTTTTTCGAATATTGCCCAAACACGGCATTTTGGAGTCTTCGAAGTCTGTCTAAAGTTTTCCAAGGAATCAGAAATTACAAAATAGAAAGGTTTTCAAATAACTTTTATTCCCTATATATCTATCTTTGCTCTTGCTGATTTTTATCTTTTTCTATCAACTCATTCGTATCTCCAATCATATACATATAAAATCTCTTAATTATAAACTTATAATTTAGTGTCGTTTTCATTAATGATATTTTTCACTTATAGATTAAGATTGTTTCAAGTCTTAAATTATGACTTTCAGCACTTTAAGGCCCGTTAGTGTGCGTGATCAAAAAGATAAAATAAATTGGACTCACTCGTATTTTTGCACGAAACTGCTATGATACATTCTTACATTATTAACTACTTCAAGTCTATTTGATCTTGCTCTTTCCCGTATAACTTCATCAGAAGCCATCAAATCTAAGAAACTGGAAAATTCCAGGCCAACCGGTGAACTTCAAGATGAAGCTGTACCGTTCTTTGACAGGTCAAGTAATGTATTAGTCACAAAATTTCTTTTTACTTATGTAAATAATAATACACAATATTTCATCAACGTAAAATGTTTATTATTGAAATTATTTCATTTCTGTACTTCAAAAATGCAACGTAAATATCAATGCATTAACTTACCTGTTTTATCTCTTTCTGATGATTTCCGTGGTTTTGAACTTTTATTATCAAGATGATTTTATATAACGAAATGTTCATATCATGGTCAATTATTTGTAAGATTGTTTACACTGAAAGGTCAGCTATTTAATTTTAGTGCGATTGCAGTAAACCAGCAGTGAGTGATATTAAACGTGACAGGAACGTCACATATTGAGTATTTAAAGTCGAAACGTTATTTTCGAGTCACAATTTTCGTACAAAAGGGTATGCGATTTGCAATGCCGTCAGTTGTGTTTCAACTGGCCAAAAGGAAACAATTAGACAAAAGCCAATCACTGCTTACAAAAAACAACACAAAACATTAGGAATCTTTCTGACAGGCTATGAAAGTTTACATTTTTTATAATTAGCTTAATAAAAAGCTATTTGAGTCATTAGAATCGAATATCGGACTCACTTTATATTCATATGGAAAGAATACTACTAGCGTCGTATCACTAACTCATCCAGAAATCTGTCAACATTGGAACCGATTCCGGTAAGCGCTGCAAGAACTTAGTCGTAATGTTCAGGATCCACTTAATTGACTAGGAGTATTTTAACGGTTAACTAGAACGTTAACAGAGATAATAATAAGGTACTATTGTGTCTAAAAAAGAAAGGTCACTACTAAGACAATGAATATATCAATGTTGCACCATTACACGATTACACAGCATAGCAGTAAACTAGTCCGGTGTGAATAATGATTAAAAATATATAATCCTGAACATATAGAAAAGACAACTAATAAACCTAACATCAACGTGGATATCTGTCAAATGATATGCAACATTGGAAGAATTTCAAGTTGACAGACATTCTTTAAAAAAGGCATTCAGTTTTACATCTATCATGGTTATCATTCCTCATATCTAGTTGTCTTTTAAAGTCAGTCCATAAAATATCTCTTTTGATGCAGACCTGCTATTTTTAATAATATGTCTACCACAAAGATCTTATGTAGCGGAGTATTGTGAGTGATAGATAATTTAGACAGTTCTTATCTATAGGTGTATTTGATGTTTTTGTACTTCTACTACATGCATATCACCATTATGACATCGCTTTGCATTGTAAAGCTCGATCAGGCAAGAACTATGTCACCCTTTGATGTAGAATGACAAACATACTGTGAATTCATTTATTCTAATTTGAACCAATCTTCATGGATTGAGGATAAAATGTATTTTCGTGGATACTTGATTTCATATTTTTTTTAAAGTAATTTGGCATACAAGGCAAAAGGCTATATAAGCATGACTATTATATGAACTTAGTTATTGATCGAATGGCCAAATTATCAGAATGATGTCCAATAATTTACGGAATATATCATAACTGTGTCGTACAAATATAAAGGTAGTACACTTATGTTAGATATATTTCATAAGTCAATGTAAAAACGGACAAGTATGGGGGAGGAAATATTTGAAACTTTAAATGGAGTAAAACCAGCAGCATCGAAATAAAAAATCAAAATGGCACACACGAGCTTAAATAAAGACACTTTAACTGTCACTAGTAAATATTAAATCCACAGTACAACCAGCTACAATGTATATAATCAAAACGTTGTGTTTAATCAAATCATTTCATCGTTCAAGTGTAACTTTATGCTTTTATACTGCGTAGGCTTTACTTCGGCAAGATCAGTCATCAACCCTGTTAATACAGTAACAACGCCATTAATGCTAGAACAAGAAATGTCTCTGAAAAGAAATGATGATGGTATGTATAATAGCATGAATAGTTATATGACACAGCACCGCCTATTGTTTGTGAAATCTATGTAAAAAAGGAAAACAACACTTTGATTACATGCGTCTAAAGCGCTTTTCTGGATTTACCTTCACCAGGAACAAAGCAGAATATTCTAAAGGCACGGATGTATAAGAACCGAAACAGGTGAGGAGCTATATGATAAAAAAAGACATAAAAATAAATATCTAAGGTAAACTTTTCCTGAGGGAATTGAAATTTTCGTTTCTTGATAATTTCTACATGTATAAACGGACAATTTTTGAAAGGTTTGTTATAAATCATGTCAGTACCGAAGTACTGACTACTGAGCTGATGATACCTTTCGGGACTGATTATTCACCAGCAGCGGTATCGGCACTGTGCTGTAAAAATAAAAAACAACACTTTATAAGTTTTATGCGTCCTACGCGCTTTTCTGAATTGAAAATCATCCGGAACCTTAAAAAGTCAATTATTTGGAAGCCAAGGATGTATACGAACCGGAACAGTTGATGAGTAATGTGACCAAAAAGAAGCTATTGTACCTTGACATGTTTATATATAGTACTGTTCAGCATTTTACAAGGGAAAACCCACGTTTTGACTAATCATCTAAATATGTTCTTCATAACATAAAAATCACAAAGTTTTAAATTCATATTCCCTTTAATAACGGAGAAAATCGAGTATTGTAACTTTTTTGGTTGACATACGTCATTGGGTTGTGACCTTTTAACCCGATTTAGTGAATGCTGGGAAATAATAAAATCAGTTAAAGTCTTGATCGCTTATCGAATTTTTTCGTAATTAAAAGCGCGCAGGTGACCGTTTTTTCGTTGCTTATAACCACACAAGAAGAATGAAAGAAAAGGAACACACGTGTAACGTTTTGCATTGATTAGATAAAAATATTTATATGGTTCATATTTGCGATTTTATCTATTAATAGTTGTGATTTTTATCGGAAATATTTATCGAAGACAAATTATTTACTGATATTGAACTAAAAATATTTTTCATTTTTATTTAACTAGTAATAATAACTTCATTTCAACCCAAAGTCTGTGTGAATAGAATGCGTCTGTTATTTCGGAAAGGCATTGCTTATTTCTCGAATAGATGAGCATTTTGTAAAACAATTCGTTTGTTTTATTTTACCTGAGGGCAATTAAGCCTAAAAAGGTACGCTATCACAGGTGTGAATATGTTGTCATTTTGAACCAACAGATTAACAGAAATTGCCGGAATGGCGAGTTTAATACACCGAGATTAAATATACGATGACAATGAGAAAAAAAATAATTGTATGATTTCCTTGAAAATAAAATTCAAATGTTTAATTCTAGCAGAGAATAAAACTAAAAAAGGAAAATTTTTCAGTTTCGTTCTCTGCAATTAACATATAGATTCAAATATGAAGAATAAAAAAATTAAATTAATGCTATATTTCCCCAAATTTAATAGAGGAATACCAATGCACATGTGTTTAATTTAGTTTACCAGAATTCTTTAACTTGTATTTCGATGTATACGTAATAAAATTCAAATAGCAATCACCTGGAGAATGTTTCTCGGGGAATATTTTTTTTAAATAGAATGCCGATTATCAGTTTTTTCATAAAAGGATTAGAATTCAGTAGAAATTTAGGCTAATTAATTAGCTGTTGAACAAGTTAACTCGAGATCAAAGGAGACTAATTTTCCTCATCAAATAAACTTTTAGTCACACAATTTTATTTTTGAATAGAGCGTGTTTGTTTTTATATAAGGTGTTGTAAGTGGTTCCTAAATATATGTAAATGTCTACATGGTATATTTAGCCATACTTTTTTTATGATTTATGTGAAGAAAAAAAAATACCGAGTACGGTGCGGGTGGTATGACACCAAGTCAGCCAAAACCTACCCGAACTATAAACCATAATTTAATCCGAAATTAAGCTTTTCAGATAAAAAAAAAAAAAGCAGCGCTTTTGCTGAGGACTTGAGTTGAAAAATTTCATTTGCTAATAATCCAATATAGTAAAAGGTATATTCTTGAGCGTATAATCTGAGACTACTATACTGTGTTATAGTAGTCCCAGGTATAATGCACAAAAATAGGGTTGTTGTGTACTTTTAGACTTAGTTAGGTTGTATTTTTCTTTCAACTACATGTTAAAACAGATGTGATTCGTGCACTACAGCGGAATTACGGCTTTATAGATGTTATAGTACGCACAAAAACTAATAGGGCGAAATTGGTATCTGTCATTGGCAATAATATCTCACATCTTTTTATTCAATATAAATCGTAAATCTTGAATATTTTGTAATCAATTTATGAAGCTTGATCGAAACGTAGATCCACTTTGAAACCAATTGTTCTCTTTTCTTCAATTTCACAAATGAACCGCCGAAGCAGGGGCATATATAAGGTAGTCATGCTTAGTTGGAATTTCACTTGCTATTCCATTAGGTTTACAATATCATGCACTATAACTAACGATTGTGATGACGAATTTCTTAATCTGTTCTAGAACAATCGAATTGAAATATAAATCTGTGATTATACTATGCTTATGTTCATAACTTCGAGGAAGTAAAGCAAGTTAAAGATTAATCTGAATTTAGATCAGATTTGTTCTGGAGGTTTCTTTTTTTCGATTTACATATTTTAAACGGTGTGACTATCTATAGTTACGTAACTTTCTATCTGTATTAACTAATGATCGACATTTGTGTGTATTTTTTTTGTGAAATACTAGAAATATTAATATATGTTTCAAAATGTCCATAATTGTTGACAACGAGTATATACTTGCATTTTCCATATTTTACTTACCATTGGAAAATATCTAATTAGAGTTTAACTTCATCTAATCTGTAGTTGGAATTATTTAGATTTTCATAAATATCATTCATTACATCGGAATTTGTTATTCATAAACAAGTGGTAGTAAAATTGTATACACGTATGAGTTTAGAAATGTCTCGTGTATCACTGTCGGACTCAAGACAAACAAAATGTACACATGATGTATATTACACCTGATAGTTCCAAATTACCGGCCATGTATACTGATCTATACACAGTTGTATATAAGGTCAGCAGTGAAGCGATGCATGAACCTGCATTACGTAATTGTGTAATAAGTGTTTTTAAGCCCGACAAGAAATCGCCTGAATACCTGGTCATGTCACCTCACAATACCTCTGGCAAAAATTCCGTTAGCCATGCTGGTGATCAAAATAGGGAAGTACCGAATAAAATCAATGTATTGCATAAAAGAGTTATGAACAAAATCAGATTTTGAAAACTTTTTTACACGGAAAACCGCTAGTTTGACTTTGAACTATGAGAGAATTTATAAAAGTAATCTTATCTATAATAATTCCCATACATTTATTTGTTTCATAAAATATGTTAAAAAAACACAATTTAGAAACGACCGACTTTAGTTATTTAAAAAAAAAACTTGTTCCAGATCCCGTATGAAGTTAATTATAAAAATAGCTTGCCGATAGGTAGAAACTATGTCTGGTATAATTCTTTTTTTAGGATCTATGAAACTGTGTATGTGTTTGTCATTATCTTGTCGGGAAAAACAACCGTACGTTTGACAAGAGATTTTGACACTTAATTACGACTACGTTTTCCCTGCTTGTTTGGGTACTTTGTGGTTTATAGTTATCACGTGGTTTTATTAATCGGGATGCCGTCAAGACGGCTACATGTAGAAAATTGATAGTCTCAATTTAATTGGTGATATCTTATGTAGGAGAATAAAACTTTAATTTTTATGAATTTGTGCTTTTTTTATACATAATGAACATAATATCAACTTTTCATTTTTTTGCGGAGTTTCCCTTTAAGCACAAGATTCAACGCTTAGACATTTTGGACACAAATAACAAAAATGCCAAATCATGTTTAAAACTTTTTATAGACTGGGAAAATACTAATTATACCTGTTGCTAGTCGACTCTTTCTGACTTTTCGTCGTCTTAAATGTAGCCTCAAAAGTATAGGCTAGAATATCAGGATACGGTACATAATAGAAAAATAAAAGATGCGTAAAGAACACTAAAATTATAAAAGAGAATACAATAATAAATACAATTATCAATTAACACTCAGAAACTCGGCATATACCCCCTAGACACTAAACCAATGAGGGAATCCTGGATAATCATAGCTCTGTTCTATGTTCCTTTGGAATTTCAACCAATAATGAAGAACTGGATCTTCCTTCACTGTATTGGATACCTAAACTACATAAATGTCCTTACACACAACGTTTTATAGCTAGGTCTTCCAAGTGCTCCACGAGACCATTTTCTAAATTGTTAACAACAATTTTATCAGCAATATAAGCCGGGTTTCAAAGTTATTGTTAAACTACCAATTCTAAAGGTGGCGTGAATCAGATATGGATACTAAAATATTTTAAAGATCTTTTAGAGTACATACAATTTATGACTCTTTCATCTTGCAATAGTATTCAAACATTTGACTTTTCTACTCTTTACACAAGTATTCTCCATTCCAAACTAAAAGACAAATTGAAAGAGTTGGTAAAGCTGTCTTTAATAAAAAAAAATTGCCAACGTACGTAGGTATCTTGTCTTAGGGAGGGATAAATCCTACTTTGTCAAAAATTACTCTGATTCAAACAAAATTTTTTCTGAAACTGACATTATCAAGATGCCTGATTTTTTGATTGACAACATATGTTTGGAGGACGTGTTTTTCAACAAACAATCGGCATTCCCATTGAAACCATCTGTGCTCTTCTACTGGCCGACTTGTTCCTTTATTCATAGAAGGATGACTTCATACAGGAACTTCTTTGGAAGAAAGAAAAGAAGTTAGCAATATCCTTTAACTTCACTTTCCGCTATATAGAGGATGCTCTCTCACTAAATAATTCAAAATTTGGTGACTATGTTTAACGTATTTATCCCATCGAACTTGAGATAAAAGGATACAATAGATATAGTAGAGTCAACCTCTTATCTTGACATACATATAGAAATTGACAATGAGGGTCGGTAACAAACAAAACTTTATGACAAAAAAAGATGATTTCAAGCTTTCCAATCGTGAACTTTCTATTTCTATGTAGCAACATTAAAGCAGCGCCTGCATACGGCGTATATATCTTCCAGTTGATACGATATTCCAGGTCTTGTATTTCCTATCACGATTTCCTTGATAGAGGGTTGCTGCTCACATGGAATCTATTTAACCAAGAGTTCCAAGTGGTGAAGTTGAAATCATCACTTCTTAAATTTTACAGACACCATCATGAGTTGGTTGACCGTTATGGGATATCTGTTTCATAGATGTCGTAATTACAATCCCGTCCTCTCTTCCTCTAATATGACCTACCGAATACGACTTGTCACCGGTTTTGTTCTGACATGAGCAACACGATGGGTGCCACATGTTGAGCTGGATCTGCTTACCCTCCGGAGCACCTGAGATCACCCCTAGTTTTTGGTAGGGTTCGTGTTGCTCAGTCTTTAGTTTTCTATGTTGTGTTTTGTGTACTGTTGTTTGTCTTCTGGTCTTTTTCTTTTTTAGCCATGGCGTTGTCAGTTTATTTTCGACTTATGAGTTTGAATGTCACTTTGGTATCTTTCGCTTCTCTTGTATAGCAAATATACTTCCTACATCAGTATGAGTGGCCTGTATTTTTTTTAGAAATCTGGAAAGTTATATACATTAAAACTGGACAACTTTTGTAGAAAAATTAGATTTATAAAATTATATAATCATGCAATTTAATACAAATATTAGAATAGTCAGTAATGTGTGGTTAAACATCTAAAATGTAAGATGAAAAGCTTTTGTCGTTTGCTCTGCAGGATTCAAACTACATTAATCCCATTTGGTGCTAACGTTTTAATCTTTCCCGAGTGATTCGATTATCATAATCTTTTGTGTCTATTTATATTGTATACAGGGAGAGGAGATGTAGCAATAGGCATAATTTTAGGTTTGGTATTTATCATAGCATGTGTCTCTGTCTACGTAGTATATAGTCGAAAGAGCAAAGGTAAGAATTGTTTTTATAGCAAATTTGTAACCACAATCTCGTCCTTTCTGCCTGGATTATGACATGACTAAATGAAACTTTCCCCCAAATGTGTAATAAACATTAACAATATGACGGGCTCCCCTAGTGGAGCAGGATCTGCTTACCTTTTCGGTGCGTCTGAGATAACCCCAGTTCTTGGTGGGTTTTGCGTTGATGGGTCTTTTCGTAGTGTTTTAATTTTTTCTATGACATTTTTTTTTCGACGTATGAGTTTTATGAGGATACTACGGACATAATGGAGGACACGGAAACATTGTTATCGTTTAAAAAAAATTATTATGTTTACAATAGTTCAACGTGTTTATCAGACTTCAATCATTACACGATTTTACTCCGTATTTCGATGTTTGATTGATAATGTCCTTTTTCGATAGCTGACTTAGAAAAAAAATTCCTATCAATTTTTTTCTTTTAAATTTTTAATTCGTGTTACTCAATATTAAGTTCCTTTGTAGTGTTTGGTGAATTGATTACTGTGGATTCATTTATTTTCGTGGGTACCAATTTTCGTGGATTAGGGAAAACTTACAAGTTCGTGGATATTTAATTTCGTGGTTTTTGACAATGTCTGCATACAAGCCTATAGTAAATTTGCCATTCGTTGAACATTTGATTTCGTGGTTAACCTATAACCACGAAATCCACGAAAATTGGTATCCAACGAATAATAATGAATCCACAGTATTCGGTTTTTTTTTCTTATTACCATGATGTTTTGTTATTTTGTTTTTTTGTTTTTTTTTGTTATTGCTTCTTAGTATCTTCTGCCATTTTTTTAAATTGAAGCATATACATTCAATCCAGTGATTTAATCAGTTCATGATATCATAAGTAACGGATTTTAAAAATTCAGGATAAAGCGCTTTAATTTATGAACTTTCTGTTTGTTTTTCGTAATAGAATAATGCTAAAAATAATTCATATTACAGTCTTTCCTTTGCTGAATAAAACTTGATCTGCAATTCAATGATTTGGTTTTTTTTAAGTGTGTTAAAATGAACATGATATGGAGCTGGAAGCTTATTATGTATTCCTTAAATAACAATTCTGTTCTTGCAAAACATGAAAAAACACAATATTGTCTATTTTCTAATAACAGTAATGGTATAGAAAATCAATTAAGATAGTCAAATGACAATTTCAAGTTTACAGTCATAAACGTTTCACTTTACATATGGAGAAGTTACTCATCTTGGATCCAATGGCGTGTACAATTCATAGCATGTACGTTAAAATGGTTATATTATCCTAGAGTCTGGAGATTTCAAAAACTTCATGGCCGCTCACAAATACTGTCAATTTGAGTTGTAATTAATTTCAAGGAGCCTGTTAGATTTTTTATTTTTTTTTCTACTTTTGCTTTCTGTTTGTAGCAGTAATCACCGAACAGCTCTGACTTTCACGTTTTGACCCTGCTTTCCAAATCATGTTCTTTCTTTTATATCTTTGTTCATGTAAGTAGTCATTTTGATGAAAGCTGAAATGCATAGATTGTTTGTAAGACTTTTAGACAATTGTTCTTGATAGGCAAAGGAAGGAATTAAACGCATTTAAAACTAGTTAAATTCATCTATTGTGTGCTTATCTGTACCAACTGTGGTTCAATTGGTCGTTCTACGTTTCCAGCGGAAGGACCCTATGATTCTGTTCCAATTAAATTGTTTGTGCCAATCATTTCGGTCTTGTGCTTGTTTGTTGTTCAGCAAGATGTCGCTTAGATATTTTGTATATGATATCGAATAGTTGACGCTTTTTTGAAACGGCAATCGCATAACCGATCACTATTCTTAGTATCTACCTTACCATGCACTGTTGTTTTTGTTATCACCCATACTTCGCAACCGTGATAGAAACCGACAACATTTTTTTTTAAATTGCTGCTTTTTACATTGGCTGGATGCAAAGAATAATTTTAACTGAACAGGATTCAAAGATTCCATATGATAGTCATTTCTCTTTGTTTTTTCGACATAAGTAAACTGTAATTGTATATCGTAAACAATAAATGAAAGATACATAGGTTTTTTTTATTTGAGGTCTTGGTCCATCAAAAAGAAAACTTGGCCAAGGACAAATATCAATGTCATGTTATTTTTACGTTTACTTATTAACTCCTGAGAAACTGTAATGAATATTAACAACAGATTTTCACTCAATTGTAAGTTATGCCTTGTCGTAACTGTAAAAAGCACGTTTTGGTCGAAAAGTCACGGTTTCAATAAATGAGAATTTTCTCCCCTAGAAAATGTAATATAAATTGTATGATGATCAATAGATTATTTACCATAAACAGTAGAGATCAAGGGTCTTTTTTGATTTGAGGTCCTTTCCGTATGATCTTGAAATTGATATCAAGCTGATGACCAAAGTTATGCTGAAGTACCTAGAGCCATCAATATTTGAAAAATTGTGAAATGACTTATCAAAGAAACCGGAAGTGACATTTTGAAACGATATAGCAAATTTTCACCTATATTTCTCGAATAAATTCATTAAAACATAACTCAAATACTCATTCGTTATATTCCAATGTTCAACGAGCGCTACATTAACGACAGAATGCTTTGTCTACGAAAAATCAAACCACTTTTCGAAATTAGCTCGAGACTCACATATATCGATAGTATAAAGCTATCAGCTGATTAGCTGTTGTTCAGTGAGCGGCAAATCAAAATCTTGGATCATAGAAGCTATTTAAAAGTATAAATTGTTGAAGCCTTTGCGAGTAGGTAAGATTGATAACGGGGAATATATGAGATATTGGGGTTAATCCAAACCATTTATTTTGCAATCACTGTTGAGGTAACTATTTTCGACACCGGAATTTACTTTACCTTTACTGGAAGTGGCTTGATATTTCCCTTTTAAGTTCCATAAACTTTTTGAAAATGGTGTGAGATCAACAAATTTGGTGTGGTCTGTTGCACTTCCTTTATTTTCTGTGTTATCGTTTTATATTTAGCACAGCCACTTAAACCTGTATCTTATAGTGAATTAGTTCAATTTTTTGTAGCAAGCACGACAAAATTTATGTTCCATAACTACATTTACGTCGATCTTTAAGACCATTTTCCTTTTTAAACATGTATATGAAATTGTTATTCAAAATAAGTAATATCTATGACAAAAAAAAAATTTTTTCTCTATGTTTCAGATAAAAAACACAAGAAAATGGAAAAAATACAGATGGATGACGTATCGACGTTATAATATCTTAAAATTAGTTTTGAGACATTAATGAATTCAGATTGAATTTTGTTTGTCTTTAAATGTATGCATGTGCATGTGTACTTCTATCAATATTATTATTACCATAAATTATTAACATTATTGTCATTATTACTATTCGGTGTATTTGATGTTTATTGTGGGTTTTTTTTTTTCTCTTTTGGTCGGTACAGTCTGAAGAGGGCTGTTGTAGACTTTGTCTCTGATTACTGACGACAGTTTTCGATGTTAAAATGAATCATGATTAACCTTAGTTTATTAAATAGCTACATCCACTTCAATTGAACTTTGCTAGATAGATGTCTCATTGGCAATCTTACCACCTCTCCTTATTTTTATATCGGTGAAAATGTCATTTCACCCAGAAACTCTTTCAAGAAGTATGTCATAACTTCCATGTGGTTATGTTGCCACTTCAAGGTATACAAGGTAGTGACTACTGGTCAAAGGATACGAATATAAAAAAAATGATGTCTACAAGAAAAAAATTATATTCCGTTCTTCCAAATTCCTTATGGTTTATTATTCTCCTTCCACGATATCGGATTTATGACCAATTATTTTGTAATTTATTAGAACATTTTACAGTTACCGAATTGTATGAGAATTACTATATCTAGTAAAAAAAGTGATGTAAAATTGTCCTGTTACATCACTAATTTATATTCACTTTCACAATATACATGTTTAGTTAAGGTCTTCACTCAAATGATCTGAATAAATTTTCCAAAATATAGTAATGTGTAATACTTTTGAAGGCTGGCACTCTTTTACTTTTTTTCAACTTCGTAATTGATCAGGATTAAACTAGTTATAACTCGCTTCAGACAAAAATGACCGCGGACGAATTTGGCTATTTTAGGTACCATTTGGTCATATACATGTAGCTCTTCATTGTTAAGGTCTTAAATATCCTTTGAATTGTTATGTTTTTGGTTTGGGCGTACCTGGAGAAGGTAAATCTAGAAAAGTGCATACGACAATTTATCAAAGGCTATTTTCATTTATAATACATCAAGTCCACGAATGTTCCACTACTAATGATGATGATTAAAAACTTAGCATCATCTTTTCCTCGTCAAACTCATTTACTAAAAGTAAGACCAATACTTTCACACAAATGGGACTCTTTGAGCTGTTGTATTGGTAAATCATCCATCTAGTAAAATCAAAGGTTCTCATAACGCTGTTCTGATAATCGAAAACAAATGTTCCTTTTGAAATATGATTAGTAATCTCCCTTGACATTAGATAATGAAAAACTCTTTTATTAACGGACAAATTTAGAAAAGTATGTCTTAAATTGTGTCAGTACCGACGCGCCGACTACTGAGAAGTTCATACCATTGGGAATAGACAGTTAACCAGTAGTGGTATCGACAAAGTGGTGATAGAAGATAACGCTTCCAACGGAGGAATTAAAAATAATCAATCAAAAAAGAACACAATATGGTTAAAATGAAAGATTAGACAAAACAAAACAGATTCTTCCTTTAAAATATATTAATCTGGATGATTGTTGTATTCGACATTTCCGTTCCAACTGTTAAATTTGATTTCTTGTTTTGTGTACCAACAAATCAACATCGGTCCACTTTTTACATTTGATGATCTCTTGTCAATTCTAAAAAAACAGACATCAAATGCCAATTAGTTAATAATTCATGGAATGGTTAGTGATCCTCGATCTTTACTTTTCTGTGCAGTGTTTTGTACATGATTTATTTTAATTTTTTCGTTGTATTTCTGCTTGGTTCTCGTTTTTATTGTTTACCTCTGACTTATAATCTTTAAATGTATCCTAAGTGTCTTCTTTATCTTTTTACTATTTTTATCGATTGTGATACAAAATAATGTTTTTCAGTCAACCCTTTGAGTATACGTGTATCGTTACATATTTGGTCACCACCGGCTGTTTCCTCGTATTGATAAACAAGAAATAATTAAAGGCATTTTCTTAACATTAAATTTACCAACAGATAGAATCGGGTTTTTTAAATTATCTGGTATATATAATAATTGTACCAATATAATCCTTATACCTCCCTATTTCATTAACATAAAATCACATAAAATATCCAATACATATACATAAAAACGGTTAATACTTGCATAGCAGTATATACTTGCCCTCTCTTCACATCCGGTCTGCACAGACTTTTGAGTTATTGAAACCGTAGTTGCTATTAAAAGAACACGAAATATTTTCTAAAAAAACATTAATGTTTGGAATTCTCCTTGTTTTAATTTTCACTAATCAACTTTATAATCCATCTTCTTATAACATGTATAATGAGAAAAAAAGGAATTTATGAGTAAAATGAAACAAAATCGGCAAGGCACTTAACAAAAAGTGAAAATTAAATAAGCGTAATAAAAAGTAAAATTGAGTTGTACTAGCCACGATGTGAAGTTAAGAGGTTCGAAAGCGTAATGATGTCGTGCAATGCTCGAATTCAGTTTGATAGATAACATATGTCTACGTTCATATAGACATTGGTTTTAAAACAAAACACAAATGAACTATTGGATGCAGGATTAATACTTACGTCTTTCCAATCATCAAATCTATTCATCTATAACACTATTTTCACTGAATCCGAATTGTAGTAGCAGTTGATTGATGCATAGAAGGAGACGCATACCTTACATGGATGACGTATCTGATTATGCACCGTTTCGACAACATTAGTCTTTTCCGGCCTTTTACCGTTTTAAATTACTTAATAGAAAATTGACTAGTTGAGAAAAAATAAGATAATTTTCTTGTATTCGGAACAAACTTAGCTTATAAATTCCTTTCTTTTGTTTGATAAAATTATTGAACGCTAAAAAGAATTTTGAATTTCCTTTCTTTTGTTTTGATAATTCTCTGTCGATAAACTTTAAAGACAAAGATGAGCATGAAAACATAATATTCTTTTCAGATTAAATTCCTACGTCTTATTTCTTTTCCCTCTGTATGACATGTATGAGTAAAATTGAGAATGGAAATGGGGAATATGTTAAAGAAGCAACAACCCGACTAAAGAGCAGATAACAGCCAAAGGCCACCAATGGGTCTTCAACGCAGCTAGAAAATCCCGCACCCGGAGGTGGTCCTCAGCTGGCCCCTAAATAAAATTGTGTACTGGTTCAGTGAAAATGGACGTCACACTAAACTCCAAAACATATAAAGGAACTAAAATTAAAAAAACATACAAGACTAACAAAGGCCAGAGGCTCCTGACTTGGGACAGGCGCAAAAATGCGGCGGGGTTAAACATGTTTTGTGAGATCTCAACCCTCCCCCTATACCTCTAGCCAATATGAATAAAGAAATACATAGCAATACGCACAGTAAAACTCAGTTTAAAAGAAGTCCGAGTCCGATGTCAGAATAGGTAACAAAAGAAACTAAGCAAAATGACAATGATACATAAATTAACAAAGGACTACTAGCAGTTACTGACATGTCAGCTCCAGGCCTCAATTAAACTGATTGAAAGATTATGTCTTCATCATACCAAAATCAAGTACAATCCCTCCCGTTAGGGGTTTGGTATAATACCATCATAAAATATATGAGAAGAACATAACCCGTATCATGCCAACAACTGGTTTTAGAATAAATGTATTTATTTCCGATGCAAAGACCCTATGAGTGAATCAATAATAATACCAAAATATACAACCCTTAATGACCTGACAACAGTATCGTAACTATATCCCTTCCGAATAAGTCTGTTTAAAGGTTTGGTTAGCTTTTGAGGTGAATGCCGACATTTTTATGCTTTGTAAAAAATATTACCATAAAATATTGGATGTGAAATACCTGAACGTATAAGATGTCTGCATGTTGATTTATATTTACGAATGCTGTCCTTGTACCGATGATAAAATTTAGTAAATGTTTTGAGTAGTTTGTGATATCGAAAACCATGGTGTAATAATTTTTCAGTAATACAGAGATTTCTTTCGTTGAAATCAAATACGTTGTTACATACACGAGCGAATCGAACAAGTTGAGACACATAAACACCATAAGATGGTGACAAGGGAACTTCACCATCTAAAAATGGATAGTTAACAATAGGAAATGAAAAATCATCTCTTTCATCATGAATTTTAGTATTAAGCTTCCCGTTAAAGATATAGATATCAAGATCCAGGAAAGGGCAGTGTTCATTGTTAGTATTAGCTTTATTGGCAGGATAAATCTCTTTAGTGTACATACTAAAGTTGTCATTATTGAGAGCCAATATATCATCTAAATATCTAAAAGTGTTATCAAATTTTTGAATCAGATGTTGTTTCGATGGGTCTTTCCTGATTTTAGTCATCAATTGTAACTCAAAACAATACAGAAACGGGTCCGCAACAAGTGGTGCACAGTTAGTTCCCATGGGAATTCCGATAACCTGACGATATACGGAATCTCCATTGCAAACAAAAATGTTATCTAGTAAACATTCAAGGGCAGTTATAGTATTAAAGCAGGTCCAATTGACATAGTTCTTTTGTTTGTTGTTACTAAAAAAATGACCTTAAAGAGTTCGAACATATATATTTGCATTCCGACTTTTTTAAATGCCCATTTAATCTGGAGTGTGAATTTTTTCTTAATAAGATTATGAGGCAAAGTGGTATATAGGGTAGAAAAATCAAAACTTTGAACAGATTCAAAATCACCAATATACGCATGCAATCTATCAAGTACTTCCAACGAATTTTTGACACTCCAAAAGTAATTAATTACACTATTTTCAAAGGCCTTATTTGAACAATTTATTACCAGGTTTTTGATTGTATCAAGTGTACTAGTAAGTAGAATAGATAGTTTAGCAGTGGAACAATGGCTTGAAGACGAAATAAATCTATATTTGTAAGGAGTGTTGTGCAGCTTCGGAAGCCAGTACATAGCTAGAACTTTCATTGTATTTGGTTCTGCTTGTAAAGAGGTAGCTAAAGGTTTATGTTTGTTACAGATGTCATTTTCCGAAGATGGAGTCAGTTGGAAGTTGGTGAATTCGTGATTTCCTTTTTTAGAACCTCAATGTAAAATTTACGTCAAACAATAATGATAATGTTAGCAGCCTTATCAGCCGGGACAAAACAAATTC